AAATTTCAAGTTCAGCTTCTTGAAACTGTCCGAGACTCACGTGTGGGCACGTAAAAGTTTTGGGGGAAAGTCGCTAACTTGGGAACGGAAAAGCTGGAAGGCTGGAATTTTAAAGGAATGTTCCCTAATCATGCGCGACTAAGAGATTTCAAATCCATCTCTTCTATTGAGGTCTTTTTCGTGCCAGCAACTTTCCATTTGTCAGGTCACTGAAGCCGACATCTGAAACTGACAATGCCACACAGTTGCGCAGCTTTCTGAACGTCGAGGGCCAAAGCTACTGTGCTTCCTTGTAGTCTTACTACAGCATGAAACAGTGCAAAACCGCATGATCACACCGGCCCGCCTGGGGCGTTCCAGCCTGGGTTACTTAGTGTAGCAGCGAAAACGGTCGAAAACCGTTAGCTCCAAAACCAATCGATATGTTAAGCTGAAACTTCCATTGTGAAGTTCAGCTTCATATTTTGTTTGTTTTTAGTAATCGCTTCTCTTTGGAAAATTTGCTTTAGAGAAGGTTACGGCAGATTGGTTGTTTTCTTTTCGGCGTCTCTACGTATGATCCGGGCATATGTGAATGATGATTTCGCTAAGGATGATATTCAGGGGGGAGGGGAAAGGAGGATCATGCTCCCAAAATTCCAACTTTCCGGCTTCTTCGGTTCTGATGTTGAAATAGGTGACAAAATTCACTCGCCTACAATATACACACACACCGATGACTTTCAACAGTGTTCATTTTTGTTCAGTGTAGCAACGCTACTGCGCTACACAACAAGAGCGTATAAAAACTCGGTAAAACAATAAAAGTAAACAAGTAAAGAAAAACCATAAATGCAGGATGCGAAAATCACTGTACAGTACGAGACCGCAATGAACATGCTTTTTTATGGCGTATTGATAAAGGGAGACGAGGTTGGAGAGGAAAAGAATCGACTACCTCACTTTCCCTGAAGCAGCGTAAAATTTCATGGTGGAATCGAAAAAAAGTTGGACCACTGAAACAGTGGTCAGCCAGAAATGCAAAGAAATCAGCGAAGACGGCGCATATATTTAGCCAAGCAAATGTAACTTTCTACATATAGCAAATGCAAAATTTTGCCGTAATCATCTCAAAATCTTTTCAAAAGCGAAAAACCGCATCGAAAGCAAATGGAGTATTTCAAACGCTTATAGCTTAGTCCTTGCTTCAAGGAAAACTATATAAAATGCATATATTTAGTTATAATGATGTGTATCTATACAGCAGAATGCGAAAATGTCTGCTGTGAATTTTCTTGCAACTGGCTTTTCTGGAAACACCACACTACGGTGACTTTACGAATTACTCTCTAATACCCTTTTCAATTTTCTAGCATCGTTATCTTAAGGGCTGTCATGAAGATTGGCTGAGTTGCTTTTGAAGCTGATTGAATGAGTTTCTTGGAAATTGGGCCTCTGTTCTAGCCGAGAACGGCTACTTTGATAAGGGCGTGACGGAAGATCGTTGCGTCGATCGTCGCGGACGGAACTGTACATCAGGCATTGTACCGAGGTAATTTATTTATGTAGAACGGCGATTAGCAAGGCGAAAAAATAGCAAAGACAATGGTCATTCCCAGTAGGGGAACCGATGCGTTTATATAGCGTGTATAGTCGAGCAAGCGGGCAGCGCTAGCCGGCCACAACTAAGCGGCATGATCCACCGAGGGTCATGCACAAATGATCACGAGAACGCTTGATTCGCTTTCGTAACAGGGCTCACCTGGAAACAGGCAAAGCCATGCTTCCATCGTGATGCGTTTTTGCATATTTGCAAAAATGCACAAAATTTAAGCAAACTTACAGCACATGGACAAGTAACCCATTGCCGCATGTCCAATGATCACCCAGCAAATGCTGATGAAACGCATAAAATGCAGTGGGCCAATTTGACCTGGTTTGTTCACATTACGGATTTCAAATACAGTTCGCGTGTTCTGGATCACAGAAAATGCCATAAAGCAGCGGAACCAACGAGCTGTAGTTTTTTACGAAATTGATATTGAATAATAATTATGAGCACAGTATGTGATCCTAAATTACTTTAGAGGACCACATCTAAGCGATATGATCCAGTAACAACCTCTTCTTAAGCCTTCTATTTGTTAGAAAGAGGGATACTGTTAATCGCTAGTTTCGTTATAAATTCCTGGGAATTTTTGTACATTCCCCTCTGAATTTGTCCGGCGGATTTTAGTACTTTCCAGTTTACTTCACCTGCAAATTATCATTCCTTAACTGGATCTTCTTTCATTCACAGTTTGTTCGGTGCTAACGGTATAAACAAATCCTCTTTAACGGTACAGATCTCTCAGAAGACAGCGATTTTGTAAAATTATGGTAACTTTG